TTCAGGAGACTTAAGTTTTATTTGTATCTTTAAAAGTAATAAAATGTTCTTTACTTTCACCTTTATTTATCTAAGTAAGACTCTACAGAAATACTGGCATGCCTGAAGTGTCCACTGCTATGTGCTGACACTGTGCCTTTATTTGAAAGGAGAGAAAAAAGCCCATTAAAATTCTTTTAAGTAACTTGCTGCCATTTGCTTCAAAAAATGAATAATTAAAACACAAGGAGTAAAAGGGGTTTTTGTCTTCAAAGCAGGAAGGGAAGTATTTTTCAAACCCAAGAATGCATAACAGAGCCTGGCCATGAGCCTATTGGCATCTGTGTCCTGGTCCAAATGAACTTGAAGATGTCTGTTCTCCCAAAGGACATGTACTGTTTAAAAAAAAAAATAAATCCATGACTGCTTTTGATCTACCTGAAATATGGGATACAGACACAACATATTTTGTACTTTTTTTATACTATCCATGTTCCTTTTAGCCTGCTGCAGCATAATTAGGATATTTCTGTTCCTGTACCACGGTATATAACTAACATTTCCCAGAGAACCCACCCAGGGCCATGTAAAGGCATCTGCTTTTAAGTCTGAAATGAGTTCTTCCTACAGACCAAGGGAGTTGGAGCTCACACTGTCACTCCAACAAATTACACTGCTGTTTATTTAAGTAATAAAGGAATTTGTTCCAAACAGTTGGATTTTTTTTTTCCAGCATTTGTTCTCCACATGTGGTTTGCTTCCTCAAGTGCTGATTTTTCATAGTCAAGAGACTTTTTCCTGCCTTTTATCCACCAGGCTAATTGCAGCCTTGCTCCTTTCTGTTTGAGGAGAGCTGCCATCCAGCTCAGTGCTCTGCAGAACAGGAAGCAATGGATTTCCTGTTCCAAGGGGGTAACGGTCTCAAGTGACCTCAGATGAGTTGGACATATGGGCAATGGACAAATCCAGCCTCCTGAGGATTTGAAATTTCTCCTGCTGCAAGAGGGAAGATGTAGTGAAGTCCATCTGTCCCGTCCTCCTGCCTCCTGAACTGATCTATTGCCCCAGAGAATAGCTCCTTAACCCAGCTGCCACAAACCCTGCTCAGCCATTCACAGTGTCCTCCCTGAGCAAACCAATCTCTGTGCTGCTCACCAAAGGGATCCCTGATGACACTGCATTAGGAGGACCTGATTTGCACAAATGAAACCACAACAAGCCACCTGCCAGATTTTCCATCCCCCTTCTAACACCCGTGGTTATCAACACCTGTACTGGGCACCCTGTGTCACACACCCCACCAAGTTACTCAAGCGGTGAGGTCAGTCCCATACCACACAGAGCTGCCTTCCCCTACACTGCCTCATCTGCCCGTGGATGTGCCCTCAGCTCGTTAATAGCTACCTTACTAATATCCCAAATTTGGAATTTAATTTAAAAATTCCTGTTTGTTATCCTGATCAACATAGGGATGGAGATTTCACACAGTAGCTTATTTTCTTAAGAAGAGGATCCATGTTCTGGCCTTCAGGTTTTCTTCTAATGAATCAAATTTGAAGACAAGCAGCCAACACTTCTGAAAACACACCTGGTACAAAGTGTGTAAGTGTGATGTGCATTGTACCCGTTTCTGACCAGGCAAAGCAGCAGGACTGAAACATAAAACTCAAGTAAAGTTTAAAAATAAAATTCATGCTCCAAAACCAAAGCATTCACTCAAATTCCTGCAAGCCAGATCTGCTGAGTCAGGCCTCACTCTGCTCACTGGCTCCAACTCTGACAAATCCAGCCCCTTCCCATACAGCAATGAAGTGTGCTTTGTTTCAGATACAAATTTTCATAATAAAGAAATTATATTAATTTTATGAAAGGAAATAAAGGTGGGATACACCTGCCAACCTGAGAGCATCCCTGGCTGCCAAATGACTAACACATTTATCACAACTGGCACAAATAAAACCCAGTAGCTGCAAAGGGTATTCACCAGAGTCCAAGAAGGAAGAACAACCCTCCCAAGCATTTTAATGTCCAAAGTGAGTGAACAGCAAGTCTGAGAACACTAAACCCTCTGCCTAGCAGATTAGGATTTTTTTTTTCTCTACACAAAGCCTTTGAAACAAAAATTAAACTTTGTTATATGCAGTGACTGGCCACCTCTTGATACCTCTATCAAAAAACCTCACCCCTCACTCCCAGACAAAGTTCTAAGTATTATATCATATTTTAAAAATATTCAGCAATTCCTGACACAAAAAAAGTTGCTGAAAGTGAAGAAGTAACACAAGACAGATGTCTAAGTAAGCTATTACCTAGTAGATGAGATAAATACACAACTTTGTCCTTTGCTCTATTTTCTTATATACTGCAGAAGGAGATAGAAAATGCCTCGTTCTCTTACTTCCCAGGAGAGCAAGCAGGCTGTGCTAACCTCTGCATTACTCCCTCTAGCTACAGCCAGTAAGTGAACTAAACATCTACATTTAATCTGGGATTTTTTCTGTTACACTGACATTGTATCTATAAGTGCCCAAACCTGAAGTCCTGTGCCTGTACAAACCTAGATTCCTCTGAAGACAAGCAGCTCAGACTTCGATGTTCTCTCTCTTGGTAGTAAACAAACTATGAAGTTATTTTTTAACTGTTTTTTTTATTATTTCTGTGCAACTTCACCACCATCCCCCCCTTAAAAAATGATCTCAAATCTGCAGGTGGGAATATCTTACTTAAACTTTTATTAAGCTTCTATTAGCATGGACTCCTGTGATCTGTGTTTGCTTGTTTACACTTCAGAAGTCATTTGCTTCTTAGAACATACTCTAACCAAAAATGTTGTGCCTGTGCTCAAATTCTTGGAAAAGGCATATTCTCAGCTTGCGTAACAGGCATCTACTCTAAGCTGTTCTGCTGGTATCAGTGACTCAAAAGGGGGACAAAGCTTGCTAGTGAAAGGGTGTATCTGCAACTCTGTGCAGAGGAACAAATTATCTTCAGCACAAAATCAGTGCTACAGTCCTGCAGTTCCCCTTTACTTTAACCCAGAGGACAAATGGCAAGAATTTAGGAAAAACCAGTGGATACATTAGCAAAAGTTATTTTGTAGAAAGCTAAGACTACTTTTGTTTGAGACATGACTCTTATCTACTATGGTCCTTCAGGTGAGTCAAACAGGTAGAGAGGAAGAAATTGTATTCATACAAAGAGATTGCATTTTAAGAAGTTTACAGTGGAGTAAGGCTGTACCTGTCCTATGTAACACCAAACTAGTGCCTTGGACAGGACGATGAATGGTAGGATGATAAGTTGGTTCATCCAGATATCGAAGACCATGGCTGAACACAAGAGCTGCAGGCAGGTCTGAACACCCAGCGCTTAGACAGTAAACCAGCTGAAACTCAGTACACATAAAGTGATGCATACAGAAAAACATTTCAGCTTCACAGTGCAGAAAAAAAAGCACTGAGTTAATATGAAAGAAATGAGCCCCCAGCTCAAAACTAGTAGTGGTCAGAAAAGCAGCTGGGGAAAAGAAAAACAAAAGCAGTAAATGTTCTTGTGTCTTGAAAGCGTTTTAGCACGATGATTGGAATGCAGCATAGGGGAAGGATACAGGGCTGGCCAAAAGGTTACACGGGTCCCTCCAGGGGACAGTCAGGTAGAGTATCCTCTTCTTTAAGCTGTGAAGCCTGAAGGTGATAGGGCAAGACTCTAAACATCAGGAGTGCTTTGAAGCTGTTCACTGTTTCTTCCCGTAAAAAAAGAACAACAAAACCAGACATCTAAGAGGTATAAAATAAAGTAAAATGGTATAAGAAAATAAAAAAAAAGGAAATTCCACATGATGTGTAGGTAAGCTACACAAATTCCTGGCCCATCCTAAAGACACTGTCAAGGGCTCAAAAAGGGACTGGACAAACTCATGCACGACTATCCACGGAGAACTTGAGATACAGACATATCGCTTCTGGCTCAAATTTGTGAGCTGGGGGGAGGTGAGGGGGAAGAAAAAAAATAAAAGAAAAAAAACACTGGCAGCTAGGATAGTATTCTGGATAAAGAAATGTTTGGGCCATCTCAATATTCCTTCCAAGGTATCAATGGGTAGAAAACACAGTGGCCTAAAACAAATTTTTGCTCTGATTCAGTACAGCCATTCTTACAGCTCGGCAGTCTGTTAGCTGCTCACAGGAGCTAAGCAGAATGACAGCCTTTCACTAACTCACTGTGATTTTTGTTAAACCAGGGAAGCCAAAGTTTATGTAGATTCCTCAATAATGGCCCACATATGTAAGGGAGTGAGATGGACACTGGACTGAGATGTAGTTTATGAAGTACCTACTGAGAATGCCTGAGAACAAAACAAATGGATGACTGAAGGCACCCTTCATGACAACCAGAATAAAGTAGTCAATTCTGTGTATTAACATGAAACCCACATTTACAAATCTGAGGAAGAGACACACAGAAGAACAGGAAAAGTACATTTAATTTTCTATTAAATTTCCAACCATAATGCATTTTCCCAAAAGAGAAGTTAAAGCTTTTTACATCACTGATAAGGATTTCATAATGATTAACACCAGATTTTCTCAAGAGAAAACAGGTAAAATGTTGCTTATACTCCCCTCTCTGCTCTCCTGGTGAATCTAATCTTTTTTCAAGATGAAATATTATCAAATCCTGTGATTCTCAAAGCAACGTTCTAGTTCCTACCTTATTCCGTATATTTTATTTTTTAGTTCCAAAGTAGTAATAAGAAAAGTATTTTATAGCAAATTCATAAAGCCTATTTTAAAAAACCATGTTGTTACAGATCCCCTTCATAAGATCATTTTAATTTAAGCAGCAGCACACCTGTTAGAATGGAAATCTGAAAGCATTTCTATGACCTGCTATTACTGCTTTAAAAAAAAATGCAACTCATTTAACTGATAGGTCAAAGTGTTTACAGCCTTCCTCATTCTCTTCCCAGCTAACCTGAACAACAGTAAGCAACCTTATTCAGCTTTAAGTTTTATAATTTTTTTTCCATGTTGATTAGAACAAAAATTGTCACAAATACCCACCATATACCATCTGTAAGTTAGTGCCTCAAGCTTAGCCTAAAAATGTTTGCCTTAGAGAAACTGATGGAAATTATGAAGAGAATTAAGGTCTCTAACCTCATAATTTAGGTGAGAGAGGTCCAATCAAACCCAGCCTGCACCATATTTTTGATAATGCCTAGTTTCATTCTACTTTTTTTGTCAAGAATATCAACTACTGTTCACTCTAATGAGCTCAAAGTTTAGCTTTGCCTGGCTGAAGTTGTAGATTCTGAAGTTTCATTGCCATGCCCATGTTGCCAGAAATCTTCAATTTGCCTTGAAAGAATGCCTAGAAAGAAGGAAAGATTATATGAAAAGCAATACAACTTATTACCTCAAATGCACCCCTCCAAAAAGTTGGGGGCTATATTATGTGTGTGCAGGTCCTGGCCTGTAGTTTTATAATTCCAACAATTCTAGCAGACACCTCACACTCATCAGCAAATACATTTGCTGACACTAGAAGGTGGAAGAGTAAACTCACCAAGTTGTATGTTTATTGTATTTGTGATACTTATAGAGAATAAACTTGGCATTCTTGTTTCTTGGATTATTGTTAATGATGGACCTGTATGCAAATCAGGGCAGAACACCCTATGTTTTGGTGATGAGAGTTCAGAGAATACGAGTTCATTATTTCAGCTGAAGACAATAAAGCAATAGTGTACAGTAGATGACACAACAGTAGATGCCACAACTGATCTCTTACTCAAATCCCCCCCCAAGCCTTTACTGGTTTTCAATTTTACAAATCTAGTTTGTGAAGCAGATACACAACAGATTTGTTGGGAGTTTTTTATCTCTCTGGACCTTATAAAAAGATCAACTGCATGCACTCAAACATCCAAATTGTAGATGTAAAACTGCAATTGCTTCTGAATTTCCTACAAGAACATTACAATATCTCTGTAATGATTTTTACCTTCAAACTTCTCCTAGACACACTTTAGTTTGTGAAAATTCCTATTTACCCCATGATTATCAGACCAAAACCTTAAACAAATGTTACCCAGAACACTCTGAATTTAAAAGTATGGAACTGCAACTTCTCACACCAATGCCAGCTATGAGTGTAAAGCCCTGCAGAGGGCCAGCACTCCTCCTTTCTCAAGTCACACTGCAAACACGGGTTTCCCCCTCTTCTCTGCAAACCAAGCATTACTATCTGCCCCTCTGGATTATCTACAGGATGTTTGAGATACTACATACTCATTTTGAAGAGTAGCCACTGTCTTTCTTGGGTTTTCTTACTTTAGCCACTGCGTCCAGAGAAAACCAAGAACTGTCATTTTTCAGATCAGCTGTGGCCGTTTTGGAGGAGGGGACTGACTTAAATTATTTCAATTTAAACACATTTAAAACAAGCAAACAGTCCTCTTATAATCCTACTTTTGCTGTACTTACTGTCTGAGGATTCATTTTGCCAGTCATGAGAGCCAACAGATCAGCATCAGCCATTGTAATTGTACAATCTGCCTTCTGATCTGTAAGACAAGAGTTGACTATGAGGATTCAAACTGAGAGGTGAAACAGTAACAGAAGCTGTAAGTCCATGAAGACTCTGTTAACGCTACAGGTCAGCTAAATAGTACCTGAAGCACATACAAATAAGAGCTATTATAAAAATATCAGCAGCCAAAAGGCAACAGTGCCACCTTGTAGCACACAACATCCCAAAGCTGGAGACAGATGGACCTTTCTGAAATGTGCTACAAATTTCACTGCTCAGAAAGATATAATAATCTACTTGTAATCAGAGAGAATGTTATTTAACAATCATCTTAAGTTCTACCAAGCTTAAATTTGCTAGTATTAAGATCAACTCAGAATAAATGTGTTTTCCCCTGTGACACTCTCTGAAGATATTTGTCACTGAAATTTCAGGCATTTCCTGCCCTCTCCTTCAATGGGAACAACATGTGCACTCTAAAAGCACCCATTTGAATTAATGCAAATCCAGAAGTTTTTAGGATCTTCTACTATAAATATGCTGAAAAAATACTGTAATAAGCTCTAACAGAAATACTGATGTATATACCAAAAGGCTAAAAACTGCACAAATCTTTTCCTACACTCATCTTATTATCAAGTCTTTGATAAGGTGTTGTCCATACAATAGAAAAGTGGTGTTCTTTTTTTGTAGTAACTTGGACCAATGAATTCCAAATCAAATTCTCTGTCACGTTTCACTCTCACTGACCATTATGCCACCTACTAATATCTCCAACAAACCAAGTGAAGCAACAACTACAAATTACATTTCTGGCCCAAATTTTAAGAGGAGATAACAACAAAACCACACAGATTTGAATTTTTCATTTTTTAAAATTCTGATCCCTGTAAAAGTCATATGACAGATCTGTCTGGAGCCTCTAAGAAAACCTGCAATTATGTAGACAGAGTTCAGAGTAGAAGGTGTTTAACTCTTGGTGGAAAACACCATATGGATTAAGTGTCACTAGTAAGAAAAGTTTAAAATTAAGGTAGCTCTACAGTACCTTGCTCAAGGTCACTGTAGCTTATACAGAACATGAATTCACATTCTTTTTGTTACTTTTATGTGTTTTCTGCAATGACATAATAAACCAGCACTGACCTGAATTAAGTGCCACAGAGCCTTTACCATTTTTCACATCTACTACCCAAGTCGCTTCTTTCCCATCTGGACCATCTTTTATTTTGAAGGCAAAGACTCCACCAATTTTCTTGACAAATTGCTCTCCTTCCTGTAATGATCATGCAATGTGCAAATTATTCACTTACTTCAAAATAATGTTAAAATAATATGAATTAAACAGAAAGTAATGTAAAAACCTTTGCCCTTTCTACTAACATCAAAATACCTATTTCCCCCTGCTAGGCTTCATTTAAACAACCATTAAAAATAATAAAAATCACAAGCTATGATTATCTGTGAAAATCTATCAGCTAAGAAAAATTACTAGTCCTAAGAATCTTGTCTTGATGTAAGTCTGACAAAATGTGATTTCCTCTTATCACACTTACAAAGCAAGCAACAAACACCAAACACAAATTTCAAGTTTCTTGTGTTAGTTATCAAGCTCCTCACATACAATCTAAACTTGACTTTGCCAAAATACCTATATGAAGGTACAAACTGCCTTAAATAAAAAACATTCAAAACCATGGTAGAGCACAGCAAGATTCCTGGCACAGCACAACTCAAAGCAGTAACATTTGTTTCAATGAGCAGTACTGAGGAAGTGATTGATGCTGCTACACTCCGATGAGGTTTCACACATGTTCTGTCAAATTAAAATCCTGCTGTAGGTAAAGTAGGCAAATACCTCTTGGAGCCTCTTTTCAATCTCTTTGAAGACCAGATGTGACTTAAATCCATCAACAGCTGTGCTGAGCGGCACAGCCTCAATGCGGTCAGTGCTGAAATGAAAAACCCATTCAGTTACAGATCTTTAATCACACGTCCAGCATCTTCAAATTCTCATAAATAGGCCTAAAAGTAGTGAGAACAGACACACTGAAATGCTTTGGCAGTACAGAGCAACTACATGGTATGAAATTGAGGGTCTGATGGGCTTGACAGCTTGAATTAGAATGACTTCAAGTATCTAGATGATTCTGCACGTATGGATGGGACACTAACTTTATAATGGAAGTAAATCATTAATCTCCTTAAGATCAATCAACAAGCACTATTGCCACACATGTGAGGAGTGTGCAGCACATGCACCACCCCAGAGAAACACCACCTTCTTTTCTGGCTAAACAAAGCCCCTAACTCCTCCTTTCTGCAGGGGCACCCAGAGCTATGGAGATGTCCAAAGAAACGGAAATTCAAGCAGTGGGAAAACAAGTTTACAATTATTATTATTACTATCAGCAGATAATAACTCTGGCAGCAGAGTTCAAAACCGTGGTGGGGTTTGGTATTGTTCAAGTGGCAGAACTGCTCCAGAGACGTTGCTGGAACTTATTTGTGTGATACTCACACCACCCTACAGTTGTATGCTGGAGTAGCAATAGCAGGGACTGTCAGCTGAAGAAGAAACATCAGATTTGCTAACAAACCCAGGATGTGAAACTACCACCCAAAATGCATCAAGTCCTGCTGTCATTTACCTTGATACACATTCTTGGCAGCTACTACTAAAGCTGCTAATTACAGGCTAGACCTGAACTCAATGATTAAGTCTATGTGTGTTGCTTAGAAAAATGGCATGAAAAAAACTACCAGCACCTTAGTCTTAATTACACAACATCACTCAATTGCATAAGTGGTGTCTGAACAGACCAGCTGCACCGTTCAGTTCCAAAGTCTGAAACACGCTGGTGCAGCTCCCCGGGCCAGCTCTCTGCCTCACACAGCCTTTGGGAGAACCAGGGGGGTTGCACCTTCTCTAATGCCAGGTGAAGAGAACATTGCCAAGATTTCTGAGATGTATCTCAGAAAGAATTTTCTAAATTCTCTATACCAATGAAGGTGAGGTGAGCTTTAGTGAATTAGACTTAATTTCTTCAGAAATATACCTATACCTGCAAAGCTTTTCCTGACAGGGAGGCACCACTTCTAGCAGTACCTCAAGGCTGACTGTCTACAAATAGCAACAGATGGTCCAGAAAATGACTGTATTTTTTAAATTACAGTATTTTTAAAGACAAAGCTCAAAGCAATGGAAAATACTATATTCCCTGTAACAGTCTCTTCCCTTCCGAATTAAAAATGTGTTCCAACATCCACTGCCAGGTTTTGTGAGTATGTCTGAAGAGAATCCACGAGGAAATATGACTTTTCCTTTGTCACATCTACTTTCTCAGGTGGTCTAACCTCTTACAGGCTGCAGAGGTTAACAGCATTGTTGCTTCTAACACTGTACTACAGAAAGTTACTACTGCAGCCCTTCAAAGTTAACTGCTTTTTCCACTACCTCTTCCACAGACTTCCCAGGAAATGTACAGGCCTAGCTAAAACAGACAGGAGAAATATGAGTGGGGAGGGGAATATTTCTTTCTGGAAGTCCAGTACATGGCAAACTTTACTGTTTATAGGTTTTTAGAGCAAATGTAGAGCGTTGGCATTGAGCTTTAAAACCAAAGCTGTAATAGCCACAAACAGTAGCTCAGTCTTTCTAAGCAAAATTGAAAGTGAAAACAGAAAGGGAACTGCATATTAAAAACACCTCTCCTGAAATTCTGGTAGCTCTACAAAAATTAAGTATTTTGTCTCAGTTGTGTCCACCCTAAGTTGCCATAGAACTGCAGCAAGTTGCAAGACAGGTTCATTGCTGTGCTCTCCCCTTGCTCTTGAGTATGTTACAATTTCAAGTACAAATTCCTTAGCCAGGACTGGACCAGTAACATGCCCGAATTCTAACGAGCACTTAGAACACCACAGGTAACACATACAGCAGAAAGCCATTCTTTATGAAACCAAGCTAGTAAGAGTTTCAGCAATGAAAGCAGTGGGTACCTCCATTCACACTGATGTCTTGCTTTTTCTGGTAAGGCCTTAGTTTCAGTTAATTGATTTCAGTGTGGCCTGTTTTGCTCTTGGAAGGGTTTGGGTTTGTGGCTGGGGTTTTTGTTGTTGTTTGACTGTTTGGGATTGGTTTTTTTGGGTGGTTGTTGTTGGCTTTTTCCCCCCCAAACATTAAGACTTTTCGTTATAGGAAAACTGGTGAGCCATTTTATCTGGGCAGTCTGATCTCTTCAATAACTAACTCGCAGTGCACGCTGTTTAGCGGGAACGAGGCATCCTGTCAGCTATAATCCCTGCGTTCACCTGCAGTGCTGTAGCTATCTAAGAGTTCCAATCGCCGAGCAAGTTTTCGTGTTCGGAGCAACTTCCTCGCGCAGACGCAAGCGCTAACTCTCAGCACCCCTGTATTTTGGGGCAGAAGAACGCGGGAGCGCAGCGGACGGCAAGAGGGCCGAGCTTACGCCGCCCCCGAGCCCCGGGTGGGAGTTGCGGCGCCAGCGCAGCCCAGGAGGCGCCTT